TCCTCCAGGATCCACAGAAGACAAGAGGCGACATGCAACAAAACAGTCTGGGAGGCACAGTAGCCATATTTGATATACAGTGGGCTGCATACACATCCAAACATCCCTCAGTGGGTCTAGAGCTACCAGATGGATAAAAGGGGGAGACAAAGAAACAACACCCAAAGGAAAGAAAGAGAGGAATCGCCAGAAAAGGAACTACAGGAAACCGAAGACAGCAACTTGTCAGATAAAGAATTCAAAGCAATGATTTTAAGGGTGCTCAAACAATTTGGTGAGAACTACAAGCAACTTAGTAAGAATTATAAGGAGCTCACTGGGAACTACTTCGGCTTAAAATAAGAGGTAGAAGTTATGCATAAAAATCAAGAAGAAATAAAGTATGATATAGCTGTTAGGAAAAATACCTTGTAAGGGTTTAATAGCAGATTAGAAGAAGCTGAAAAGCTGAAGACCAAATCAGTGACTTAAAAGACAAGGTAGAGGAAAAATACTCAAATGGAGCAGCAAATGAAAAAAAAAAATTTAAAAAGCAAGAGGAAGTTTTAAGGGAGCTGTATGACCATACAAAATGTAACAACAACCCTGGCCAGTTAAGCTCAGCGGTTAGAGTGTCGGCCTATGATCCAGAGAGATCCAGGTTCAGTTCCCACTAAGGGCACATACATACCTTGGTTTCAGTTTGTCCCCAGCCCTGGTTGGATTGTCTGGGTGGCAACCACTTGATATGTCCATTTCACATCGATGTTTCTCTCTCTCTCTCTCCCCCACTCTATCTGAACAAAAAGTGGAAAAATGTCCTCGGGTGAGGATAACAAAAAAGAAAAAAATTTAATAACATTCGCATTATAGGGATACTGGAAGGAGAAGAATCAGAGAAAGGAATAGAGAACCTGTTTGAAGAAATAATGACAGAAAACTTCTCTAAACTGGTGAAGGAAAAAGTCACGCAAGTCCAAGAAACACAGAGAGTCCCAAGCAAGATGAACCCCAGAAGACCCACAGCTAGAAACATCATAATAAAAATGGCAAACATTAAAGACAAAGAAAGAATCTTAAAGGAAGCAAGAGAGAGACAGAAAGTTACCTACAAGGGAGCTCCCATTAGACTGTCAACTGATTTCTCAATAGAAACGATGCAGACCAGAAGAGAGTGGTATGAAGTGTACAAAGTAATGCAAAGCAAGGGTGTGAATCCAAGACTACTCTATCCAGCAAGGCTTTCATTCAAAATTGAAGGACAAATAAAGAGCTTAATGAATAAAAATAAAAAATAAATAAATTTAAAAAGCTAAAGGAATTTACCACCACCAAACCAGCACTCCAAGAAATGCTGAAGGGACTGTTGTAAGAGGAAGAAGAAACAGAGAGAGAGAGAGATGGGTGGACACAGGCATAAAATTGAATGGCAACTCAATAATTACCTTAAATATAAATGGCTTAAATGCTCCAATCAAAAGACATAAGGTAGCTGATAAGATAAAAAAAACATGACCCATATATATGCTGTCTACAAGAGACCCACCTCACAACAAAGGACTCACACAGGATAAAAGTGAAGGGATGGAAAAAATTTTTCCAAGTAAATGGAAATAAAAAAAAGTGGGCGTAGCAATACTTATATCTTACAAGATAGACTTCAAAACAAGGGGCATAATAGGAGACAGAGAAGGTCACTACATAATATTAAAAGGAGCAATCCAACAAGAGGATATAACCCTGGTAAACATATACACACCAAATACGGGAGCTCCAAAACAAATAAACCAAAGAACTTATATGCATAACCAATGGACACAGACAATAGTGTGGGAAAAGGCGGGAGGGGGGCGGGAGTGGGGAGGAGGGGGTCAATGGGGGGAAAATGTGGAACATCTGTAACACATTTTACATCCAACAATAAAGATTTTTTAAAAAAATAAAAATAAATAAATAAATTAAAAAAACATTTAAAATTTATAAATCTCTAGCTGGAGAGAGAGAGAAATTGAAAGAAAAAACAGTAAGGTGGAGAGAGAACACAAATGACAAATATCAGGAATAAAAGAGTAGGGACGGCACTACAGATCCCACAAACATTAAAATAGTGAAAAGGGACTATCATAAATAAAATACCTGATAATACAAGTGTTGGTGAGGATGTAGAGAAACTGGGACCTTTGTATATTGCTGGTAGAAATACAAAATAGTGTGGCCATTTTGGGAAAAAATGTGGCAATATCTTATGAAATTAAACATGAATTTAGATAGTATCCAGAAACCCTACTCCTAGGAATTTACCCAAGATAAATGAAAACTATGTCCACACAAAGTTTTGTGCATGAATGTTCACAGCAGCTTTATTTATAATAGCCCGAAACTAGAAAGACACAAGTGCTCATTAACTGGTGAATAGATTAATTATTGGTATTATATCCATTCTATGGAATAGTACTCAATGATCAATATAATTAATACATACAACATAAATAAACAGCAAAAACATTGTTCTAGGTGAAGGAAATCAAACACAAAATCTACATACTTCTGTAAAAGGTAAAACCATAGTATGAAAAGAGATCAGCATTTTCTGGTGTCAGTGATCAGAGGAGGAGCTCAACTGCAAAGGGACATGAAAAATCTTTCAAGGGTAATAAAACTGTTGTGCATCTTCATTGTGGTGGTAATTTAAATGATTACATATAATTATTGACATTTATTAACCTGTATAATTAAAATAGGTGAGTTTGCCCAGCCAGTGTGGCTCAATGGATTGAGCATCATCCCATGGACTGAGAGGTCTGGGTTCAATTCCGGGTCAGGGCACATGCCTGGGTTTTGGGCTGGATTCCCAGTAGGGGGCATGCAGGAGGTGTGCAAGAGGCAGCCATTTGATGGATGTTTTATCTCTTTCCCTAAATTAAAAAAAAATTCAATAAAAACATATTTTAAAAAATAGGTGAGTTTTAGTGGATATAAATTATACCTCAATAAAGACTGGAAGAAAAGAGTTCCTTCAAATCAATTAACTTTAAACAACAATGAGATAACACCTCACACCTGTCAGAATGGCTGCCATCAACAAATCATCAAGCAAGTGTTGGCGAGGGTGTGGAGAAAAGGAGACTCTAGTACACTGCAGGTAGAAATGCAGACTGGTGCAGCCACTATGGAAAACAATATGGTGTTACCTCAAAAATTAAAAATTGAACTCCCATTTGACCCAGTGATCCCACTTCTAGGAATATACCCTAAAAAACCTGAAACACCAATCAGAAAGAATATATGTACCCCTATGTTCATAGCAGCACTATTTACAATAGTTAAGATCTGGAAACTGCCTAAGTGTCCATCATAAGACAAATGGATAAAAAAGCTGGGGCACATATACACAATGGAGTACTATACAGCTGTAAGAAAGAAAGACCTCTTATCCTTTGAGACAACATGGAGGGACCTGGAAAGTATTATCCTAAGCAAAATAAGCCAAGCAGAAAAAGACAAATACCACATGATCTCACTTTTATGTGGAATATAATGAACATAACAGTCTGAGGAATAGGGTAGACCCAGAGATGTGGAAGTAGGGTACAGACTGACAACCCTCAGTGGTAGGGGGAGAAAAGAGATAAATCACATAACTTATATACATGAACGCATAACCAATGGACATGAACAACAAAGCAGGGGATGGGGTGGGAGGGGGGTGTCAATGGGGTAAAAAAGGAGAAACATCTGTAACAAAAATAAATAAATAAATAAATAAAATTAAAAACTATCAATTAATTTTAGATTGTCAAGGATTAGACACAATCTTAAAAGATATCTTGTTCAGCTCCCCAGTTATGAAGTTACCAGTGTCTCCTCCAAAGAATATGTTGGAGTCCTAACCCCCAGCACATCAGAATGTGACCTTATTTGAAAACGGGATCTTTATAGAGGTAATCAAGTTCAAATGAGGTCATTATGGTGGGCCTTAATTCAACATGACTGGTGATTTTATAAAAAAGAGAAATCTGGACACAGTGACAGACATACAGTGGGAAGACAATGTGAAGACACACAGACAGAAGGTGACCATGTGACTGAAGTAAAATGTCTACAGGCCAAGGGAAGCTTGAGGCTACCAGAAGCTAGGAGAGAGGCATGAAACAGGACCTTCCCCAGAGCTTCACAGATAGTGTGGCATTGCCAATACCTTGATTTTGGACTTCTGTTCTCCAAAAATGTGACATGATAAATTTTTGTTGTTTTAAGCCACTCAGTTTGTGGTGCTTTGTTTAGCAATGTCAAAAACCAACACACCCCCATTTGATATTAACAATGTTGACCACAGTAATCATCATCATCACCCATTTGTCCAGTTTCCCAAGGAATCTCTCCGAGATGAAAACGAATCCCCTAGTGTCAAATATTATATAATGGCCCCAAGGAAGAAAGTTTTTTTCTTCTACGTTGGCTAGGAAATGCCTACTTCATTTTGGTATTGTTAGGTCCGGGTAAGAATCACCTGAAAGTAATTTGTAAAGCCTCCTCTTCATCAGAAACATTTTATAAACATAAAACAGATCATCTAATCTGAATCCATTCACTCTACTTAAATTGCATATATTCCTAATTCCTTTGCCTTAATCGCTCGAAATAGGCTAGTAGGAAACCCAGAAATGGCTGCCCATAGTGTTCTCAATTTCAAAAAATAGTATGGTACAGTTAATAAAGATATACCTGACTGTAAATGAATGGGTCTATTACCCCAATGGCTGCTACCAGCCTTTCATGCAAAGTTACTAAACAAATTGTACAAAATCATAGATTTTATTGAATCCCCATGAAGATTTTGTATTGGTGAATATATTGAGTTCTCTCCAAATTTAGAAAAGTTGCTTTCAGTTTACCATGAGAGGCTTTTTATGTTGTTGTTCTCTCTCCCTCCTCCCACTTCCTCCCTGCTCTGTAGATTATATTTATTTATTATCATTAAGACTGAACATTTGAACATTTAGAACGTGCTATCAACCTACCTCTTGTGATGAAGGCAGGGTCCTCTCACAGGTGACACAGTATTTCAGGTGAGCAGGATTCCCTGTGCCACAGGTGCGACAGATTACTTTCTCCTTGAAAACAGAAAATAAGAAATTCATGTTCCTCTGAGCAAAGAAAGCAAACAAAAGCATGAAGTCATGTTAAGAACAAGATTAAAAGTCAACATTAATTTCAATGTTCAAGTTTAAATATATTAAGTAAAAAGTGTCAAAGTTAGCTGTAGTGTAATTTGTCCACTAAATCCATGTTCAGGAAACACATATCTATGTTTTCGTCTTTTTTTTTTCCCTAGTTTTTTTACTCTTTTTTTCTCAGTCCCTTCACCACCCCGACAGCTGTCAGCATGCTCTCTATGAGTCTGTCACTATTTTGCTTGTTAGTTCATTTGTTCATTAGATTCCACATATGAGTGAGATCATATGGTACTCAAATTCTCTGGCTGGTTTATTTTCCTTAGCACAGCACTGTCCAGGTCCATTCATGCTGTTGCCAAGGATAAGATTTTCCTTCTTTTTATGGCCAAGTAGTATTTCATCGTGTAAATGTACAGCTTTTTTTTTTTTTATCTTAAAAGAACATATTTTTTTCTTTTTTTGAATTTATTTTTTTATTACAGATATTTTACCTTTTTTACCCCATTGGCACCCCCCTCCCCACCCCACCCCCGCCCTGTCCCCGGCTTAGTTGTCCATGTCCATTGGTCATGCATACATGCATATAAGTTCTGTGGTTTATCTCTTCCCACCCCCCCCCCACCCCCTCTTCTGAGGGATGTCAGTCTGTGCCCTACTTCCATGTTTCTGGGTCTACTGTATTCCTCAGACTGTTATGTTCATTACATTCCGTATATAAGTGAGATCATGTGGTATTTGTCTTTTTCTGCTTGGCTTCTTTCACTTAGGATAATACTTTCCAGGTCCCTCCATGTCCCTCAAAGGATAAGAGATCTTTCTTTCTTACCGCTGCATAGTACTCCATTGTGTATATGTACCACAGCTTTTTTATCCATTCGTCTACTGATGGACACTTGGGCTGTTTCCAGATCTTAGCTATTGTAAATAGTGCTGCTATGAACATGGGGGTACATATATTCTTCCTGATTGGTGTTTCAGGCTTCTTAGGGTATATTCCTAGAAGTGGGATCACTGGGTCAAATGGAAGTTCAATTTTTAATTTTTTGAGGTAACACCATATTGTTTTCCACAGCGGCTGTACCAGTCTGCATTCCCACCAGCAGTGTATTAGAGTCCCCTTTTCTCCACACCCTCGCCAACACTTGTTGTTTGATGATTTGTTGATGGCGGCCATTCTGACAGGTGTGAGGTGATACCTCATTGTTGTTTTAATTTGCTTCTCTCTGATGATTAGTGATGTTGAGCATTTCTTCATATGTCTCTTGGCCAATTGTATGTCCTGTTTGGAAAGGTGTCTATTCAGCTCCTCTGCCCATTTTTAAATTGGGTTCTTTGTCTTCGTTTTGTTGAGTTGTATGAGCACTCTATATATATTGGAAATTAACCCCTTATCTGATATGTACAGCTTTTTTATCCATTCATCTACTGATGGAAATTTGGTCTGTTTCCAGATTTGGCTATTGTAAATAATGCTGCAATGAACACAGGAGTGCATATATTCTTTTGAATTAGTGTTTTGAGTTTCTTCCAATAAATTCCCAGAAGTAGAATTGCTGGATCATGAGGCAGTTCTATTTTTAATTTTTTGAGGAAACTCCATACTGCTTTCCACAGTGGCTGCACCAATCAGCATTCCCACCAAAAGTGCACGAGGTTTCCCTTTTCTCCACATTCTTACCAACACTTCTCATTTGTTGATTTATTGATGATAGCCTTTCTGACAGGTGGGAGGTGATACCTCATTGTGGCTTTAATTTGCATCTCTCTGAGATTAGTGATGTTAAACATTTTTTCATATGTCCATTGGCCAATTGTATGTCCCTTTGGAGAAGTGCCTATTCAGGTCCTTTACCCATTTTTAATTGGATTGTTTATCTTCTTGATATTGGGTTGAGTAAGTTCTTTATAGATTTTGGAAATTAACCCCTTATCAGATGTATTGGCAAATATATTCTCCCATTCATATGTATCAGAAAAAAATACTATGAGAAATGTCTGAGATTTTACTGTCTGCTTTCTTCTAGGATTTTTATGGTTTCACGATTTACATTTAAGTCTTTAATTCACTTTGAGTTAATTCTTACATATGGTTTAAGAAATTGGTCTAGTTTTTGTTGTTGTTGTTATTGTTTTTGCACATATATGCCCAATATTCCCAACACCATTTATTGAATAGATTTTCTTTACCCCATTGTATGTTTTTGCCTCCTTTGTAAAATATCAATTGACTATAAAGGTGTGGGTTTATTTTTGGGCTCTCTACTCTGTTCCATTGAGCTATATGTCTGTTTTTATGCTAGTACTGTTTTGTTTACTATGGCTCTGTAGTATAGTTTGATACCAGATGGTGTGATTCCTCTAACTGTGTTTTTTATCAAGATCACTGTTGCTATTCAGGGTCTTTTGTGATTCCATATAAATATTTGGAATATTTGTTCTAGTTCTGTAAAATATGCCATTGGTATCTTGGTAGGCATTGCACTGAATCTATAGATTGCTTTCAGTAGTATTGACATTTTAATTATGTTAATTCTTCCTATCCATGAACACAGTTAATGCTTCTACTTATTTGTATCTTCTTCAATTTCTTTTTTTGGTGTCATAATTTTCCGAGTACAGGTCTTTTGTATCCTTGGTTAAATTTATTACTAGATATTTTAATTCTTTTTGAAACAATTGTGAATGGAATTATTTTCTTAGTTCCCCCTTTTGATAGTTCATTATTGGTATATAAAAATCCAATTGATTTCTAGATATTTATTTTGTATCCTGCTATTTTACTGAATTCATTTTTCCATTCTAGTAGTTTTTTGGTGGAATCTTTGGGATTCTGTATATACAGTATCATGTCATCTGCAACTAATGAAAGTTTTACTTCTTCCTTTCCAATTTGGATGCCTTTTATTTCTTCTTCTTGTCTGATTGCTGTGGCTAGAACTTCGAGCACTATGTTGAATAAAAGTGGTGAAAACAGACATCTCTGGCTTGTACCCAATCTTAAGGGAAATGCTTTTAGTTTTTGCCCATTGGGTATGATGTTGGTTGTGGGTCTGTCATATATGGCCTTTATTATGTTGAGGTATGCTCCCTCTACTACCACTTTGCTGAGAGATTTTATCATAAATGGTTGCTGGATATGTGTTCCTCTTAATGTTATAGATCCCATTGATAAATTAAACTTTTGGATAGCCTGCCTTTCCAAAAATTAGAGTGGATTTTGTCACAGATATTGGCTTATCAATTGTTAGCCAATTCCAACAGCTGAGGAAAGACAATTAATTGTTCAAACATTACTTTCTATATATACTTATTCATGAATTTACAAAATCACATTTCATTACCTTCAAGCGGAGGCTGGCCTGTGGTTGCAGCTGTAGAGCAAGAGGAGCCTCACACACCACACAGACAGGAGTGTTCATGGGCACCATGCTTTCACATTCTGTACACAAGCCTATCTGTAAAAAAAGAGGTCCAGTTTGTCTTGGGATGCAAAAACTGAAGGTATAAGTAGATCTTAGTATGTAAGGTTTAATTTGCTTTTGTAAAAAAAAAATTTAATAATTACCTTTATTCTTATTTTTTTATATTAAGAGTAAAACTACGTTTATTGTAGAAAACATACATGTAAAAAAAGAAAAAATATCTTCCAGCACAATAGAGTGAGGAAGTTGACAAATACTCTTTCCAAAAAAGCAATTATAAAGTCAGTAAAACTGTCAAAAAACAACCATTTCAGATTCAGAACATCAACCAAAGATAGACAACTGAAAAGTACTGACCTTCAAATAAGAACACTACAAGTCTTTGCAGTTTTTACTTGGGGACACTCTCATTCCCTTCCAGCTTTATCAGCATGATAGCTCTATCCACCAGGGCAGGGCAGGGCAGGGCAGGGCAGGGCAGGGCAGGGCAGGATGTGAAAACCAAAAGCTTTGTAACTACTGATGAACAGGGCTCACTTGATTTGGAGCACTTGTAAGGTTACAATCTCAGTGGCAAGCAAAGAGGGAGGGTCAGTATCTCTACTATTTTGAAATTGTGGTACTGTTTAGGGCAATCAATGGACCAGCAAGTAGCGAGGAACTTAACAGGGAGTTTCAGGAAGTCAGTCAACTATAGGGGACAAGTCAAGGTGTTGGTGAGGCTACAGCTCTCTTTGAAGCTCTAGGGAAAGTACCGTTCCATGCCTTTCTCCTAGCTTCTGGTAGCCTCAAGCTTTCCTTGGCCTGCAGACATATCACTCCAGTCAGTTCTCTACATACTTTTAGTTGACTGGATGCTATGTGCATGAGCAGCCTAAACCAGAGTGGGTCTAAGCCACCCACACATCCCTAGCAGTACATAGAGATACAGTAGAGCTCAGCATAAAGTAAAAGCTGGGGCAGATTTGAAAAGAGCCTGAAGCTTGAATATTCTACCTAGCCCACACATAGATCCATCAGCAGAGAGTGGAAGCCTTATTGGATCAAGATATCTGAGCACAATTTCTGGCCAATTTTCAGTTTAACACTAAATTATGCACACCCAGGGGTGATCCCAGGCTTAAAAATAAAAAAACAAGGACAAAAACAAAAACAAAAAAACCCTGATACATCTGTAGTTGGAAATTGCAGGAAAGACAAACATGAAAGATTTAATGGAAGCAAAAAACAAACCACCACTAGGAGAAAAAGTCCAAATCCAGAATTATTACAATATATTACCTAAAGTGTCCAAAAATTTTAAAAGATCAATGAGACATGCTAATAACAAGAAAATGTGACCCATACTCAAGGAAAAAAATTGCTAACAGAAATTGTCTATGAGTATCCCCAGATGTTGGGTTAGCAGGCAGGCTTTGAAACAGATATTATTAAAAATGTTCAAAGAACTAAAGAAAAACATGTTTGTAAAAAAATGTTTTAAGTATGATAACAATGGTCTGAAAATAAAAATTCTCAAAAAGAAATTATTTTAAAAGAACTAATTCAAACCAATAGGACTATTCGTATTTTATTTGTTGTATTATCTTCTTCAAGGAGTACAAAACATATCATAGAAGTAAATTAAATTAACTTCTACAACATGTCCATTTAACATCATCTGACCCCTTGCTTGAAGCCATAACTCAATTTTATTTTATTAGTTTTTTTCCTTGATTTTATTTTTTTCCTATCATCATTTCTCCTCCCATACTTTTTCCCACCTCTGCCCACTCCCCTCCCCACTTCAATTACCACACCTTTGTCCCTGTCCATGAATTCTTTATCTTTGTTTTTCTCTTCTGATCAATCCCTTCACCTCTCCCCAACACCCTCCCAACCAGAGCTGTCTGCCTGTTCTGTTAGTCTGTCTCTATTTTGCTTGCTAGTTCCGTTTCATTACTCAATTTTAAAACTCTGGACTTTGAACTCACTAAATTAGCCAATTTTTCTTAGTGACTACCTTTCTTAAATAGTTACTTTTCACATTCATGGTCATTTCACAGGTTCTTTTATTTCCCCCCCAAACCCCAAAGTATCAAGTACATAAAAGATGAATATGTTTTGGTGAAGATATTGATTTTTAGTAAGTCAGGTATGTTTTCTAACTACAAATTTAGTGGTAGGATAATATCAATTATTATCTATACTTGGCTAAAACTTATTAATTCAGATATACTGATCTATCTATAGTCTATATAAACAGCATATTTGGACAGAATGATATATCTTATGACTATATATACTTGTAATTAATATATCTCATTTATTCCTAGAATATATCTCCTTATTGTATCCAGGTTATAAACAGAAATATCACATAAATAGGAAATTTATATTTAACCATGCATACGTCATTGAAACAATAAGATTTCACTCTCAGTTTCTGAGCCTGTGCTTCTACAAGGCCAAACACACACACACAAAAATAGCATTGTAAGCCAGTAAGAGAAAGACAAGTATCACATGATCTCACTTATTTGTGGAATATAATGAACAAAATAAGGTGATGAACAAAATAGACCCAGAGACATAGAAGTAGGAATCAGAATGACAAACTTCAGAGGAGAGGGTGGGGAAGGGGGGGTTAATAAACCAAAGAATTTATGCATATAAGCATAACCAATGGACATAGACAACAATGCTGGGAGCAGTGGGTGGGAATGAGAGGAGGGTATCAATGCAGGAAAAAGAAGAAATATCTGAAACAAAAATAAATTAATTAAATAAAAATGAAAAAACAATAGGATTGCAAGCAAGCAAGTTTTTTCATTCCTAAGGAGTCAGATAGTAAGAAATTAATCTGCCAGTAATATTTTCAACCAGTATTTATGTTTGTGGTTTGTGTATGCCAACTACTATGCTACTGCTACAAATAAAAATCAGATTAACCAATGAAAGAAGATTTTAAGGACCATGCTACTCACCTGACCTCCTTCTGGGGGTGGGAGACAACCAAATATGGGTGGGACAGGAAAGCCACATTCTTGACAGAAGCGAACAAAGGGATCAGATGGGCGTGGAGCAAGGCACTGGGCACACCTACAACAGAAGAGGTTCCTGATTGGCCATGTTCTAATGAGTTAATATTAAGAAGTCAGGTGAAAATCTAAAAGTATTCAAGCATTTTTAAAAATAAAATAAAAAACAAAACAAAAAGCAAAACACTCTCAATAGCTATGGAACAAGTTCTCTAGTCACTTTATTACAATGTGGCCTCAAGCTGGAACTACTGTTGCCCTTCACTGGTAGGCCATCTCACTTCCTGAATGCAGCTGAAGCTATTAGCAACCTTGAGCCCACTTCTTAGTGGGACTCTGACTTGTCTTATCACACTGGATTTGGATTGGATTTATGAGGATAAACCTAAGGAATTCTAGGAACGTCTACATTGTACTTTTCTACCTGAGCATTGAGCCCAGTCTGTGTAATTCTCTAGAGAGTCACTGTCAGTCAAGCTCTGCCTTTGTCTTCATTCATCTGGTTAGAGTTCCAAGGCCCTGCCCCAGCAACATCTGTCCCAGTTTCCCAAGCAGATGAATCCCATCATTTAGCCCTCACCCACCTACCTGGGTTCTGAGTATCAGCCAAGGTGAAAGCATTGATAAAATTCAGCATTTTTTTATGATTAAAAGCAGTGAATGAACTAGGAACAAAAGAAAACATCCTCAACATGCTAAAGACCACATACATACAAAAAAAAACCCACAGTGGTGAAAGACTGAAAGCTTTTCCTCTAAGATCAGTAAAAAGACACGGATACCTACATTCACTGTTTCTATTCAACATAGTATTGAAAGTTCTATACAAAGCAATTAGGCAAGAAAGAAAATAAAATAAAAGTTATCCCAAACTGGAAAGAATGAAGTAAGATTATCTCTGTTCACAGATGATATGATCTTATATGTAGAAAACCCTGGAGAATACACACACACAGTAAATTATTAGAGCTGATAAATTTAGAAAAGTGGTAGGATAAAAATATCAACACACAATATCTGTTGTGTTCCCATAAATAATTTAAAAATAAAATTTAAAAGGAAAATAATTCCATTTATAATAGCACTAGAAAGAATAATAGATTTAGGAATCAATTTAAGTAAGGAGGTAAAAGACTTGTACAATGAAAACTATAAAACCTCTCAGAAAGAAATTAAAGGAGGCATAAATAAAAGGAAAGACATCCTGTATTCATGAATCAGGAGACTTAATATTGTTAAGATGAAAATACTACACAAAGCAATCTACAGATTCAATGTAATCCCTATCAAACTCTCAATATTTTTTTTTTTTTTTTTGCAGAAAGAAAACTCATCCTAAATTCATATGGAATCTCAAGGAACCTCAAATTATCTAAACAGTCTTTAAAAAAACAAAAAAAAAGGAAACAAAGTTGGATGATTTAAACTTCCTGATTTAAAATTTTACTGCAAAGCTAAGCAATAAAAAAAGTGTTGTTCTAACACAAGGACAGACATATGGAACAATGGAATAGAAGAGAGAACCCAGAAATAAACTTGCACTTACGGTCAAATGATATTTGGCGAAGATGTGAACACCATTCAATGGGAAAGGACAGTCTTTCTAACAATGGTGCTAGGAACAATGGATATCCACGTGCAAAATAATGAAACTGGACCCTTACCATAAACAAAAACTAACTCAAAATAGATTGAAGACCTGAATGTCAGGGGTAAATCTATAAACCTCTTAGAAGAACCCATAAAGGACAAGCTTCATGTCACTGGATTTGGAAATGATTTCTTGGATATGATACGTGATCAAAATAAAAAATGTCTGTGTATCAAAGGACACTATCAATGGAGTAAAAAGGCAACCTATAAATGGGAGAAAATATTTCCAAATCACATCTCTGATAAGGGATTAATGTGCAGATTATATAAAGAATACCCACTGCTTAAAAAACAAACTACCTATTTAAAAATGGGCAAAAAACTTAAATAGATTTCTCCAAAGAAGATATACATATATCCAAGAAGCACATGAAAAAGGTCAATATCACTTGTCATTAGGGAAATATAAATCAAAACCACAATGATATACTACTTTATACTCATTAGGATAGCAATTATTAGAAAAATAAAAAATAAGTGTTAGGGAGGGTGTAAAAAAATTGAAACCCTGTGCATTTCTGATGCAAACATGAAATGATACAGCTGTTGTAGAAAACAGTTTGGCAGTTCCTCAAAAAGTTACACATAGAATTACCATATAATCCAGAAGTTCCACTCTTAGACAAATATCCAAATGAATTGAAAGCAGAGATTCAAAACAGATACTTGTACACCAATATTCATAACAGCATTATTTGCAATAGAAGAAAGGTGGAAATGACTCTGATATCCATTAACAGATTAACAGAAAATCAAAATGTGGTGTATAAATACAATGAAATATTATCTTTAATAAGGAATGAAGTTCTGATACATGCTATAAAATAGATGAACCTTGAAAACATTATGCTAAGAGAAATATGACACAAAAGAACAAATATTGTCTGATTCCACCTACATGAGATAACTAGAACAGACAAAGTCATAAAAACAGAAAGCAGAACAGAGGTTACTAGAGGTTGGAGGGAGAGAATAACAGAGAGTTACTGTTTAATGGGAACAGGGTTCTGTTTAGAATGACAACAAAGCCCTGGCCAGTTTGGCTCAGCGGTTAGAGCGCCCGCTTGCGGTCTGGAGAGACCCGGGTTCGGTTCCCGCTAAGGGCATGTGCCTCGGTTGCAGTTTGTCCCTGGCCCTGGTTGGTCATGCGGGTGGCAGCCACTTGATGTGGCCCTTTCACATCGATGTTTCCCTCTCTCTCTCTTCCTCTCTCTCCCTCCCACTCTGTCTGTACAAAAAAAAAAATGAAAAAAAAAAAAAAATGTCCTCGGGTGAGGATAAAAAAAAAAAAAAAAAAAGAATGACAACATGGCCCTGGTTGGTTTGGCTCAGCAGTTGGCCGGCAGACTAAAGAGTCCCAGGTTTGATTCCAGCCAAGGGCACGTACCTCAGTTGCGGTTTGTTGGGGTCGTGCAGGTGGCAACCAGTCAACGTGTCTCTCTCATATCAATGTTTTTCTCTCTCTCTCACTCCCATTCTGTCTGAAGGTAAATGTAAAAATATCCCCAGGTGAGGATTAACAACAACAACAACAAAATAGAATGACAAAATAGTCCTGGAAATTAATAGTTAAGATGGTTGCACACATTGTAAATGTACTTAATGCCATGAAATTTCACATTTAAAATGCTTAAAATGGTAAATTTTAGTTATACATATTTAGCCACAATAAAAAAGTATAAAGGACCAAAAAAGATAATTGATTATATGAAATAAAAGCAATAATATATTATGGGGTTCTTATTTATTAAAAATAAAATGTATGACAATAGCATAAAAGCTGTTGGTATTCAGTTATTGGAAATATACTGCATAAAGTTTTTATGCTATTATGAAGTAGTATATTACTTGAAGATAAACTATAAGTTAAAATTGTACATATACTATGAACTACAGCAACCACTAAAATAAGTTATAGCTAATAAGCCAACAAAGGAAATAAAAAATCCAATTAATCCAAAAGAGGTAGGAAAAAAAAAGGCAACAAAGAATAAATAAGATACACAGAAAACAAAGAGCATGATGGCTGATTTAAATTTAAACATATCAATAATCAGAAAAAATAGGCTCTCAACATCTCAGTTAAAATGCAGAGATTGTTAGATATAATTGTTAACAAAGCAAGACCTAACTATATACTGTTTAAAAAAAAAACAATTTTATATAGGGAGACAAAAATAGGTTAAAAGGAAAAGAATTAAAGATACATCATGCAAACACTAATCTTGCTAAAGTAGGAGTGGCCTAAGAACAGGCATACACAGAAATAGGCCCATGCCTTATGGTCAATTAATATTTGATAAAGGAGGCAAGAACATACAATGGAGTAAAAATAGTCTCTTTTATAAATGGTTTTGGGAAAATTGGATACATACAAAAAAAATAAAACTAGAACACCAATTTATACCACACACAAGAATAAACTCAAAATAGATAAAATACTTAAAAGTCACGAAACCATAAAAATCCTAGAAGAAAACAGGCAGTAAAATCTCAGACATTTCTTGTAGCAATATTTTTGCCTATATATCTCCTCAGGCAAGAGCAACAAAGGAAAAAATAAACAAATGGTATTATATCAAACTAAAAAGCTTTGGCAGAGCAAAAGAAACCATCAACAAAATGTACATAAAGGGAACCCACTGTATGGAAGAACATATTTGCCAGTGATACATCTGATAAGGGGTTAATTTCCGAAATCTATAAATAGTCTATACAACTCAACACCAAGAAGACAAAATCCAATTAAAAATGGGCAAAATGCCTGGCCAAGCACCACAGACCAGAGCACCAGAGCTGGGAGGAGGTGCCCACAAAGCATCATGCTGTGAAAAGCAGCGAAGTTTCTGTCTGCCAAGGAGAGGTAAAGTCAGCTGGAGATACAAGCACCCTCTTAAAGGGCCAACACACAAAATTTAATTTGCAGCCACTGACCCTGGGTTCCAATGGAGGAAGGGCAATGTGAACTGGAGTCACCTGAGGGAAGTCAGAGGTTTATGATGCTGGGGAGAGACATAGGGGGCACAGGCACCAGGATCCATGTACTGAGTCATTCCCAGATACTCTAGAAGCCATCTTTCTTGGGAGGAGCAATCCCCTCCAGTGGCATCAACCTAGGGGAAAGCAATTATTCCATATTTCGGAATCCCTCTCGCCCCACCCTGCAGATCTTAAGACCTGTTGAGGAGTCAGTGGCATGGGCTGGGGCATAGAAGTCTGAGCAGACTCAGGAGGTGTTAGTAACTGGCTTCAGGGTGAGGCCATTCCCCCCACTTTCCTGGTGAATTTGACTGGAGCTTCCCCTTCATGGGAGATCTGATAGAAACACACTGCTGATTTCCAATAGACCCAAATTCTGGTTCCAGAGGACCAACCCATCTGATAATTAGGGGCTCCACCCTGCCGAGA